TTTGGATGTAACAACGTTTAATCATTAATTCTACCCACAGCGACGCCCACGTAATATTGTATGTCCGACATGACACGTCATTATTAGTGATAGTTTTTAATAAATAATTTTAATTTATTTATTTTATTTATTCTATACAATCTGTTTCCCGTGGCTTTGTTTGCGTGTAACGGTGAATACAGTATGTTTTGTGTTGAGTTAGGATATGACCCACTTGTGTATTAAATTTATATAAATTTCATTCGGATTGAAAATTTATAAAGCAAAAGATGGATAGTTTTTTTTTTTATACAACTTAGAATGCCAACAAGCTGACGGCCCGCCTGATGGAAAGTGGTAACCGTCGCCTATAGACATGAGCAGTACCATGGACACAACAGAGTATACAGTTTTGCCCATGATACCCCCAATGGTTTGAGTTTTATGATACTATTACGATATTAATGCGGACTACCAGTCCCATTGCTGGCAATACATCTTGTTAAGTCGATCTCCACATGGTCCCTGCTGGGAACCATCGTGCTGAATTCCACGTGTATACATCACGATGGATTAACCGACTTGCGTCTCTGGAGCCCCGCCAGCGTATACCATTAGCGCAAGCGGGGTTACCATTCCATTATCATCCATTTATCGTGTATCGTGGTCATCACAGTATATTAATTGTATGTACAGTTATTCATCGGGCAACGAACATTTGGGTCACAACTGAGAACACCTAGACTGGAGTCAATAAAAAAAAAAGGTCTATTCACAAATAGGTCTGACCGAGAATTAAACCTGGGACCTTATCAAGTAAAGCAACATGGCTACCACTGCGTTATAGAGATAATTATCATTATGGATAGTAAGAAAATGAGATAGTATGCAAGAATATGCCTCTTCCGTATCTTGATATGCGGACAGTACTCAAGCGACACTGACCTACAAATCGTCAATACTAAATACCGCCAACCGGCACTCTCGCTTTTTTTCCTATGTGTTCGCGTGTGTGTAATTACAGCACACGCAGCCACACAAGCATCCATACACAGCATTCCTTTACATCATCCCGCTAAATAATTTCACTGGCGACTCGCAGTGTACATATCTGTTTCTTTATTGTACAACACTATTTACAAGATGGCGGTGTTATGTCAAAGATATTGGAATTATTTAATGATACTTTATTAAGTTTATAAGATTTACAGATAATCTAATAGCAACTTTGGCTTATTGAAATATCATAGAAGAAAATATTAGAGAAAATAAGACTGTATGGCATTGTTCTTTGTTGTATTGGTAAATTGTGACCACTGATGTTAAAATTATACGTGTAATAATAGATTTTTTAAACTTATGACTAGGCAGTATAGGTCACGCTCTTTGCCTATCCAATTTAGACGAATTTAAAAACAACAACATGTTAATTTTTTTGGGGAATAATGATAAATTATTTAATAATTAAACACAAAGAAGTTAATTAAAAACAAATTTCGATTGTTTACGATATATATTTTTTTTATTTTTTTATTTTATATACAATATACCTTATATTATATATATAAAGATGGTAAAATATTTATAATCATTAATATGTGAACGTGTGACAGAGAAAGCCAATTAGCAGTAGGACAAACTGGTATTGTTATTGAGTAAATAAATAGTATTGTTATATTGTTTTTACCAGAGGGAGACTTTGTACAAAAGTCGATTGCTTGGGTACCTCTGTCCCATTCGTGTTTCAACCGTGAAGCAGTTGTGTTTGCATGGCTGCGTTTCGGTTTGAAGGGTGGGATATGGCGTGAATTTACTGGGTACAGAGGAATAACACCTGAGTCCTCAGGAATGGCAACGCATGGGGGTATCACGGGCGAAACAGTATACTCTGTTATGTCCATGGTACTGCTTATGTCTATAGGCGACGGTTACCACTTTCCATCAGGTGGGCCGTCAGCTTGTTTGCCATTCTAAGTTCTATAAAAAAAAAAATATCGTATTTAAAGGTTTCTTTCTTTAAAATTTTGTTGAAAAAATAATCAAGGAACTTCGCAAATGGAGATCAATAAAGTATTTATTATAAGAATATTCTTTTGCATTAATTTTTATTGTTGTATGCAGTTACTGTTTAATGTTTCCGCATACATATGTATTTATTACAATTGTAAATGAAAAATTTCATTTAAGATATGGCCCCTGCAATAAATATTAACTTAAAATGTAAATGGGGACTAAATTAGGAATAAACTTTATGGATTGAGGAAAGAATTATTAATTAAAAGTGCATATAGACTTGTCAATTTAAATACTCTAGTCAAATAATATTACGCCCTCAGTGCGAGAGGTCTCTTCAACTCGGCGGGTGATGTAAAGCAATTTCTATTATGATTTGTGTATGGAGGTCTTTTTGACCCCCACTATTCAGAATTGATGAAGATATAGTGCAATATATACACACAAAAACAGGCGAAATAAAAACCTATTCTTTTTTAAAGTCGTTTGAAAAATAGATTAAGAATATTGCCTAAGAGTCTATGTTTATAAAAGTTTATAAAAAAAAAATAGCTGTCAATAAATTATTTACCGCCAAAAATGTTGTCATCTTATATAGTTGCCTAGATTTTATTATCAAACAGGTAGTCTATGGATTTTTACATAATATATTAAAAGAAAAAGTTGTAAATTAATTTGTTCAACACATTGGTCGTTGTCGTAATAATTAAACAGTTTTATGTAATTTTAACCTCAAGTTCAAATGTCATAGTAAATTTATAATGTAACATAATAATCGAGGTTTACTATTAACATACGCGTATCTTCCTGTTTATCGTATTTGACTGATTTGGCAATAATAAATAATAAATGATAATTTTATGATATCATTTCGAAAACTCCATTGGTCAATGTGGTAGTCATTCGAATACCAAAGGCTGAGATCAATGACATCTAGTTAAGAGGGTTCATACCTAAGAACAAGAAGTCTTTGGTTCCTACTGAAACGTAGCGAAGTGTGGCAACGTTGGAGTCATCTGTCAATTATTAATAACATTTGAATAATTTTTAATATTTCTGGTTGATTATTCAAAAAGTGTTGTGATAGTGAACTAAAATGTAATTCTTTATTAATATTACAAATGTAAAAGTCAGTTCGTTTTTGTTGTTCCTTTAACTCTTGGTACTTTAACGGCTTACCTAATTATCACTATGAAATGGGGTATAGGTATAATTACTCCATGGGGTGAAAAAGAACTTTGGCTGCTTCTTATTTCAGTCAGAGATTATATAGCATAAAAGAAGATAACGAAAAAGATAGCCTATAAGTTACTATTTATTTTGCTACCGAAATTTTTAAATAATTTTTTGATATACATTTTTTATACAACAATTTTCAATATTTTGCAAGGCATAATTACCTTTCTGCCTTTCTTTTAAAGAATATATTAATAATAAATATCAAAATCAAAATTAACAGCGACAGCTTTAAACAGCTTGCTACATAATTAACATTTTAATTCATTAAAAATATTTAAATTTTTAGAATAATTAAAAAAAAAAAGGCAAATGACTGCAACATTGCCACACTCCGCTGTTTCGGTATGAACGCTCTTAATTTCTCCCTGCAATTGCTTAGATAAAAAATATTTACTTTTTTCAATAACGCGCTTTTTATATTAGATTATTCTTTTAATTGGTGACTTTTATTATAATTGTTTTTTTTTTATTTTATTTTATATCTTTGATTTATTTTTATTAGGGCTTCGTGACATCGTATTATCTCCGATTAGTAGACCAGTTTGAAATTCGAATATGGCCAGCGTCACAAATATGAACTTGAATTTTTAGAACGTTTTTGACATTCAATTCTCCATCTAAGGTCTTCAGCATCTAAGGATGTATTTATGGTCTAAGACTAAAGGGCAACTTTTAGTTGACGACCTCGATTGTGGTTCGATTTTGAGTCGAACCATTTTGGGAAACACTTCTAAATAAGCTCGGGACCGGCTGTTTTGGTTATGCCCTAACTTGTTAATAGTGCTTACAGCCAAATAGTAACATTTTATTGGCAGTTTCACTAAGAAAATATGATTTTTGACTACACATTATTTTTTATTTACTGGAAGAGAATACTATTAGCACTAAGCTGTACTATAACGTAAATTCTACTTTTTCATTTTAATATATTTATTGGGTTACAAGCTTTTACCCACAACTTCGTCTGAGATATGTTCACTGAACGGGATATAACGGAATCCTATGTTCTTCTCCATCCTATATGAAGTATGTGTATATATTTTTTTATACTATTATAGTGGCATACAAGCATACGACCTGTCTGATTGTAAACGGAGTTATCGTAGCCTACGGACGCCTGTAACACCATCGCGGGAGGGAGCTCCTCTGAAATCGCTCTGTGTATGACCATTCTGATTATAAGGCGTGAGGATAGATTCCCTGACGATGGCAGGCTGTACGATGGTGAAAACTGGCTTTGAAGAACTCTTTAATATGTTGCCTTATATTGAAGAGTTTTTCAGAACACATCCGTTATAAAGGCGACAGAAGATGCAAAGGGAGCCAAAATAACGTTGAAAGGCGTTAAGAGCTGACAAACATACAAACATACTTTCACATTTATAAGTAAGGATTTTAGTATAGTTACAAATAAAATCAATGTCAAGTCCATGATTTAGATAAGCGAAAAGTTAAATATCCCCGCGCAGACTACAGACTTTATTTTTAACCTGTATTAGTATAAGTTTACGAAATTGGACCTTGAAACTCGCATTTATCAGTTTCACTCGTCATTAGCGAGTCTGTAACATATTGAGAATAGACGAGTAACAAATCCATAGACAATTTCACAAGATGTCATGTTGTTTTAGGTTGACTGAAAAGGATCTCTTTTAGAGATAAATTCACAACTGTATGTTTTAGTGTAATAAAGAATATCAATAATAACCTCGTAACTCGAAGGTTTGATCCTGGAACAATTATTAGAATCAAGAACTAAAGGCGCTTACCTTGAAGTACCTGCTTGCCCCATCCAGTTACAATACATTCTCCGGCTCCATTGTAGAACGCGTCCAGAGTATCGTCAGGTCCTGGCAGGCAAATCGGGAGGATGTTGTTGGCCAATCTTAGGTTCTCCGAGAGTACCAGGATAGCAGCGTCGTACTGGAGGCTACCGCGGTTGTAGAATGGGTGGCGGAGGATATGTTTCACTTGCACGATTTGGAAAGGCAGAGGTTCATCATCAATGCCCAATTTCCATTCACCACCCTTGATTAAGACGTTCTTGGCGTCCAGTCTGAAAAGGATAGAGTGGTTAGCTCACTATTACAGGTTTACTAGGTTGTGTTTTTATTCTTTTTTTTTTCTTTTTTTTTACAACTTAGAATGGCAAGCAAGCTGACGGCCCACCTGATGGAAAGTGGTAACCGTCGCCTATAGACATGAGCAGTACCATGGACATAACAGAGTGTACTGTTTCGCCACAGTTACTTCTGGACAGTCCAAGGTTTTAAGACTCTCAGGAATTTAATTTTACTTTCTTTACTAACAGAAAATATTGGCAAGAATTAGCAATACATGAAACACGTTTAGTTTTATCCATAATTCGCAGTTTGGACGCCGAAACGTTAACACTAAGCTCCAAACAACGATCTATTAAATTGCCTAAAGAGGTACAGGTGAACGACATGTGTCACAAAACGTGCGTGGATTGAATGGCGGTCGGAGATTGATAGCTAATGCAGAAGGTTATAGAACTTCTGGTAATAATAATAGTAGTCAATCTTTGAGTGTTGGAGGTTGTTTAAAATTAAATAAGCATATATAAATTCAATGATTAACATTTGCATGTGTCGAAACATACATCTTGTAAACTTGACAAATGCAACATCTTTTCAACAATGTTTTTTAGCAAAACAAATTAATTTAATTTAATTTTAAGAAAATAACTCACCCATCAACGCAAGCAGCCGACGTGAGAACCACATCAGGCCTGGTGATCACTCCACCGCAGAGTAAGCTCTTGTTTGTCTGTAGCAGCACCATCGCTTGCCATGGGATTTCAGAGAAGTCCACCTCGAGTTCGTTGCGGTTTCCGTACGGTGTTTGACTCTGGTGGTGAAGATTTTCTTATATTAGTGAATGTGCAAGATTTACAGCAAATAAGAGTAAGGTAAACCAGGTTCCTTACTCCAGGAAAGTCCTTTATTTTTATCAATTTTATAGATTTTTAAAAGACCTTATATTAATCTCCATATGATGATAAGCAAGTATCCGTTTACACAGACTAGCTCGAAGAGAAAAGTGATTACGATCGATTTTAAAATACTTTTTTAAGATCGTTGCAATACGATTTATTTTTACTTTCATCTCGCTAATCTCGAGAATGTGATGGCTAGAGAATCAAACAACAACACCTTAGTTCATGAGATGGAAAACTCGAAATAAAACCAAGTCTAACAAAGTTAATAATCATAAAAGTCTCCTTTTATCACTCTATAACAGTCTTTCCCATAACGCCCCCTTGTGGGCGCTGCAGGCCTAAAGGGGGCGGTAAGAAATTTAGAAAAAATACTGTTTCGCCCATGGTACCCCCCATGCGTTGCCATTCCTGAGGACTCAGGTGTTATTCCTCCGTACCCAGTAAATTCACGCTATATTCCACCCTTCAAACTGAAACACAGCCATGCAAACACAACTGTTTTACGGTTGAAACACAATGGGATGGGATTGAGCAAAATATTTAGCAAAAAACCAAGCATTATGTTTAAGAGTCGGCACCACCCTTGAACAATGGTTAATAAATTCATGTAACCATCTACTAAAAGTATCAACATAATAAAATAAATGAATATTAATAATGTTGCACAACAATCTCTATTTGTCTATGTCAAAAATATCAATAATATAATAAGTACCTGTAGATATCCTATTCTATCCCTGTATATATAAGTAATAAAAGAAAAATAAGGTGGATCGTTAATTTATTTACCCTCCCACCTTACAATTAGTAGTAATAGTACCTCTAATTGTATTAAAAAAAAAATTAAAGCAACGCAAAGGTCAAAATTGTAGTGTAGAGCGACATCAGCCACATCTCTACCGAGTCATAGATAATAACGTAACATTTTTTTTTTCTAAACGACGCATTGTGTAACATGTTTAATCTGTGGTGAATTTGTTAAACGTCATGTTAATGTCATTAGTTTTATTTTCTCTGACAGCTGTATTAACATCGCTGTTAATGTGGCGATATGACAAAATCGATTTATCTAGGATTAGAATCTTTATTGATTACCTATACATTTTATATAACTTTTGAATAATTAATGAAACACAAATTATAATTTATATATTAGAATGAATAAATCTCTAAATAGTATAAAACAAAGTCGCTGTCTGCATATGTTTGTTTCATCGCTTATTTCTAAGCCGTGCAATGGAACGGTTTCTAAATTCTAATACGGGTTTCACAGTCATTTAGGTATATATTTTTTTACAGAAGCTTTGTAGGTGGGTATTGGCGTGTTTAAAATTAATTTCCAAGAGGGTTTGACTTCTTAAAGAAGCTGCGTATGTACTCTTTACATATCTTTGCTGATAGCTGAAAGTCTCGCTTCTGTTTCTGGGGTCTTCTGATACTGGGGTAGGTACTAAGTAATTTTGGGGTGGGCACGGTCAATTCGGTCGTTCAATGTCATGTCAAAAAAAATGTCAAGCGAACCCGAGGAATCTAGTTACATATCACATTCACACCAATAATTTAGTTGGATACTTAGTCTTAAGAGGATCAAACGACGATTATCTGGGGCGATAACCCAGAACCTAAGTCCAGAACATTTAGATCCGAACCCGTTTAGTAAAGGTTGTTTCCTAAATTAACCTAGTACTCTGGACAAGTAGCAAGCAGATTCATCGATGGAATCTATATCGCTAGCGAGACCATGCGTTGAAATGAGACATCCGACGTCGCTATTTCGTTTTATCTCACGGATTTGCTAGCGATGTCGATTCCATTGCTGAAATCGCTTGCTACTTTTCTAGAGAGCCTAATCGAGAGTAGAATCGTGACTTCACTTACGTAAAGCAAATCTACTATTGGACCACAAAGGTTCACAGTTATTTAACACTACTGATCCGCCCTGGCTTCGCACGATTGCAAATTAAAACATATCACCAAACGTTTGTAAAAAAATATCGAAATGTAAAACCCGCTGATGAAATTGAAAATACACTGCTTAGTTTACAAGTATACGGAGAAACATTCCGATGCAAAAAGCAACTTTGTTTCATTCTATTTAGAGATATTAATATTTATAGCAATTGCGTATGTCAATACCAACTGTGCATAATTAATTAATTGCAAAATAATTGTAAGACAGAGCCATCTGCCGGGTTTCATTTTATTACGTACAGGTTAATTTGATGTTTTATTATTATGATAATTAGATGCCGTAATGTGTAATTGCGATTTCAAGATAATTCTGCTGTTTATTCCACTCAATGTCAACTCCTTTTTTACTAAGTTTTTCCCGCTGGTTCGCCTGTGCATTTTCTTTTATATCCATAGGAATTTACGGATGTTCCTTATCTAGGACTTCCAAAAGGAAGTGGCACTCAATTAGTCTCGAAAAAATAACAATAATTAAAGTGAAAGAAAAACCAGTTTGATTTAACAACTAAATTTCTAAACCAATTTTGATATAAAATTTTCTGGGACTAATCTGTAAGTATGTCCTTTCACATAAATAAGAATTTTGGAAATCAGTTCAGAACTTACGGAGTTATGAAGTAACAAACATTAAAAAAAATACGCCCGTTTTGAGAACCTTATTCTTTTTGAAGTTAGTTGAAAACATTAAGATCCCACTGCTGGGCAAGACTATAACGTCATAAGAGGAGTATATTAACACAGTATAAAAAACTGAGCTCCTAATCCTATAGTATACATAGATTTTTTCGAGTTTTCTTTCCCTTTATAGTGCTTTGTTATCTTAGTCGACATCCTGAGGATGAAAAGGACACTAGTAATATTTTTTTACATATAAATAAAAAAAAAAAACTTACATTCAGCACGCCACATTGTCCGCTACCGCTGTATTGTTGCAGGAACACCCTGTATATGACTTCAGAGTATTGCTGCTCGACCGTGGACCCTGTTCGCGATATGCCATAAGACCCAACCCCTTGTCTGACTCCAGTTCCAAAGCCTTGGCTAACTCCAGTCCCAACTCCTTGGCTAACAGCACTACCAAATCCTTGACTGGCCCCAGAACCTTGGCTGACGCTGCCACCTTGGGCAACTCCAACAGTTTGGCTGATTTCGGAGCTACTAGTTCCTTGGGTCACTCCGAATCTAGATCCTTGTTTAACTCCAGCCCCAATTCCTTGGGTGACTCCAACCCCAAATCCTTGGCTGACTCCAGTCCCAACCCCTTGTCTAATTCCAGTGCCTGCCTGCCCACTGACAGCAGCTTGGCCGAAATTATTTTGGGTTCTGACAGCGTCCGCTTGAATCTGTTCATAACAAAAGTCATTTTTAAACAATTTTCAAATGGCAGAGATTTTTAAATCGGAACTTTTTGTGATTGCGTTACGTCATTACGTCACCAATTCTGAGCCGATTTGCATAATTCTTTTTTAAAATCGATAGGGTTTATTCACGTGTTTAATATTATTTTAATTTTGTAAACATTAAAGCTGCCGTTTTTCTTTGCAGAGTGAAAAACTACTTGTTACGAAGCAATCGACAAATGTCACTGACTATCCCCATTAGGGACTATAGTCGTGAGTATATATGTAGTTAATATTTCTATTGATCTGAGTAAAATGATTATCATCTTTAAATCTAGTAAAAGTTTGAGTGTACCATCTCTTACCAACTTACCGAACCAACAGTGTATTGTTTGTTTGTTTGGTACGAGCCCTGTCCTTGTCTCACTCCTTGACCTTCTCCCGTGTACGCGCCTTGACCTTGACCGATGACGACCGCTTGACCTTGGTTGTTGCGATTGAAGTTTGCCGTTTGGAATTGCTGTGTGGTTTGAGTTACTTGGGAATCTAAAATTTAAAAAATGTTATGTAACAATGGTAGGCGACGGTTACCACTTTCCATCAGGAGGGCCGTCAGCTTGTTGGCCTTTTGAAGTTGCATGCAAAAAGATGTCATTATTGTTTTTGTGCATCAGTATCCGATAAATATACTTTGACCATTAGTGTCTTATTTTTTTTTTTGTTCCTAAACTTTAATAAAACCTCCATAGGTAAGTAAGAACATTATGTTTCACAATAGAACAATAAATTAAAGTTAATATAAAATTCCTTAAATACTAATAACAATTAAAAGTAATCCCCCAACGCACCACACCGAGGCAGCGTACCCAAGATACTGGCAGCATTACCTCTTTGGATTGCCAAACTTATCTTTTGGGCAAAGTAGCTACCAGCTCTTGGGTCACCAGTAACCTCGATGAGGCGCGCTGTGATCGTCCGATAAAAATTCTTTGCATCTGGGCCCCACGGGCTCATCGTATTAATTAATAAAATTATTAATAAATATACTGTCGCACACCTGTCAATTTGATTAGCATTTATAAAACAAGAAAAGGTCGTAAATTTGTCAGTCGCCTGTCAATTTTCGCACAAATTAATATTTGGTTTGAATTGCAAACACATGTCGTTTATCTTAAGCGATAGATGTCGGCTCTGTTTGAAGCTAAACATAAATTTAGATTTAAATGTTTGGTCGATGAAGAATCACCTAATAAATTTCAAACGAACCATGTTGCAGTTTTTTTTATGGGATTCGTCCACAGACATACACTAATGGAAAAAATTAAGGGACCGAAAAAAAAAGATTTCACATTTTTAGGTGATTTTCAATAGGCTGTAACTTGGAGGTAAATTATCGTAGAGACATTTAAAAAAAAAGCAAATTGTAGCTCTAGTTTTTGGGTCTAAACTCGAAACAATTTTTTATTTTAATTTTTTTTTCAGGTAATTTTGAAAAAACCATTGACAAAAAAGTTTAATTTTTTTTTGTTCACTTCTTTTTTTACGTCTACGGTCTTTTATTTTATTTTTTTACATAATCACCATATGGACTAGATAACTTGTTTATTCAGATTCAAATTTCTTTTTGAAAAGCAAAAAATTAGTCTTATGGCAATGGGCTGGTCACATAGCTCGAAGCACCGATAACCAATAGGGACGAAAGAAAGTTATTGAGTTGCGAACTCATACAAGTAAGTGCAGTGCAGGACACCCCCCACTAGACGGATGAATGGATGGTGTGACGACCCCAAATGATTTGCAGGGAGTCAATGGAAGGAAGTAGCTTCTGTCATAAAGAAGGAAGTTCTTTATGGCAGTCTATGGGAAAGGCCTATGACCAGCAGTGGACGGATAATGGCTGAGATGACGATGATGGTAATGATCTTGATGCCTCTTTACTCTGTCATTTAATTTACATACGCAGTCATTGTCTTACCTTCACGTTGTCCAGAAAGAGAGGTTTGTCCACTAGCTCCCGCTTCGTACTGTCCGCGACCGCCGACGTTGAAAGAGCCGCCACCACCCTGGGAAATTTGGAGGCCACTGCCAGTTGTCGTGGTCCTAGTTGGGAAGCCTGGGGTGATTTGGTTTGGTCCAAACGGACTGGGTGTCACCTTTTCTCTAATATAGAAAAAAATATAAATATAAGTTTTTCAATCATGACATTATTTTTACCTTATATATAAAATTCTCGTGTCACGGTGTTTGTTACCAAACTCCTCCGAAACGGCAATACCGATTTTTATGAAATTTTGTGTGCATATCGGGTAGGTCTGAGAAACGGCCAACATCTATTTTTCACACCCCTCAATGATAAGGGTGACCCTCCCCAAAAATTTTTTTTTAATTTTTTTGACATATTTTTCCATTTTTATTTTATTATGACTTAGCATTGAAAAATATATACAACCTTAAATTTTCACCGTTTTACGATCAACCCCTGTTTTTTAATCGCTATTTTTATATGCCGCAATAGGGTTGCAAGATGGCAATCGAATATTATAATTGTAGTAGGATAAATTTTCATGTATAGTTCTAGAAATAATGTATATGGTAAAACAACGTTTGCCGAGTCAGCTAGTTTAGTTATAACATTGAAATGTAGAATTTTGAATTTTAATTATACCCGAATAAAATTATTTTTTGTTAAACAAATAAATATTAGAATAATGTCGTCCGTCCAACCCGCCTGCCAAACGTGGCAAGTACTGGCAAAACTGCTCTTATGGGGAAGGCTTAGTCCAGCAGTGGACAGTTAACGACTGAAATAATAATAATGACCCACGATAGTTTTCAACAAATTTTACAATACCTGTACACGGGGGGGTTGTTGTTAGGGCTGCCTCTGTTGTCTGGCACGTATTTGCCATTATTCCCGAAGAATGTATCGTTCCATTGTCCCAACAGGTTTGTGGGCCATGGGTCGGTGTAGTTGGGGTCTCTACAGCATTTTCCAATGACACCAGTGCCCAGATCCCGGCAATCCTATTAATTAAATATTTGATTAGTAAAGCGAGTAATTTAACATTTAGGCATGGATTTTACATAGATATATATATATATATATATATATATATATATATATATATATATATATATATATATATATATATATATATATATATATATATAAATGCATAATATAATATATTAATAACTTGTCGTGTCGGTCCCGGATGTACTACCCCTTCCTTTCTCGTGGGTTTCGTAAGAGGCGACTAAGGGAGGACGAGGGATAGGCAGTAGCGTCCATCACTGGTACCCTGCCTGTATATACCAGTAGCACAGACGAGTTTACCATTCAATTTTCACTCACAAAAGAAAAATATTTGCCATTATACCACGAAGGTTACCAATAAATATTAAAAGTACTTGCGAGCCATTTAAAAGAAATAGTTACATCGTAATAGAGCATTGGAACTGACCGTTAGTGGCACTCTGAATGCGTCCTGCTCCTTGGTGAGGATAACGGGCGTGGTGGATATAACGCCGTCAGCTGTACAGTACTCAACTGCAGTGCACTTGAGGGCAGCTGCGCAGGCGGTCGAAATGTCGTCTGTTTGACAAACATGGAAGGTATTGATTATTTCTTTTTATTACCAAGTTGTATAATTTTAATAAATAAATAAATAAGATAAAAATATTTTTATTCAAGGAGACTTAATTATTACAATATTTTTAACAAACTTCAAAAAGAAAAGTTTTCCAGTATGACGTTTTGTGGGTAAGTTACGTAATATTTTCGTTGATTGATTTTGGCTGATTTTAAATGTCCTTTTTTTGTCGAAAGTAGTTAAGGAAGGTTTTCACCTCCGGTTTCGTTGAACCTCTATTGATTTTCATGAAAATTGATGAGCAGGTGGGGAATAATTTAAGAAACAAAAGTGACATAGTCCAACCGAAATTTCGGTTCCGGTCTCGGCTAGTTTGTTAGGATCTTTAAAGTTTCGGTTTCAGTTAAAAATTGGCCGAATATATGACCGACACCAAACTATGAGAACTTATTTTTTGTACTATTTCGACGCAATGGGATTTTTTGTTCTTCTTTGTATGTTATATAATAGTATACTTCTTATAGTTTGCAAGCAACTTCCAAAAAAAGTAGGTTTTCAATTTACTTAAAATTTTCACTTGCACTGCCAATTTAGAAGGAACTTTTACAATTCTCCTTGATATAGATTTGTTTATTTGCGAGAACATAATTTTTTACAGATATTGATCCATTGTGAAGTACAAATGTTCGCCTTATAGTCTAAAGCGTGCAAAATTATTATTGGGTACAAGATACATTACATTTAATACATACATATAAGTGCCAATTAATAATAGAGTACAAATTACGTTATTCTGTAAATAATTCTCCCAAAAAACGATTAGTTATATATGAATTTTGTATTGTTTGAAGTTGTCATTTATCTTTGTGGAACAAAAAAACTGATTGTTGGGAAGCAAAATCCTATTCAATCTGTTCTGGAAAAATTCCTGGGTCTTATTGAAATGTTGCATTTACATATTTTATCTTTTAGCAATGAAGTTCTCTAGAAAACTGGATTTAATTTATAAATATAATAAGGATTAAATAATAATAAAAGTATATAAATAGATATACAAATACGTACTGATCGGTATTTGCGGTGCGCGTGTGGTTTGCTGGAAGCTGTCCAAAATGATCGACCCTTCTTTATGTTGATCCGGTGGGAGGTATGTAGGGGCTGAGGTGGAAGGTGTTCGTGGTGGTGTAGGGGGCAAGTATGTAGGCCTGGCAGTGGTCACTGGTCGAGGAGTAGTCGTGCTTGTAAAGACTGTCGAGGGGTACAGGTTAGTTGGTTGATTTTTACTATCTATGGGAGGCAAGTAAGGGATGCCTGGCTTCAGGCCAGAGCCGCTCGCACCAGGCCTATAAACACCCGCGCTCTCGCTGCCTGACGAGAACGAGTCAGTCTCGATGAAGTTCGATTGGCTGGTCGATTTGTATACTTCGTTGTTGAAGCGGTTCGTTGTTGTCGGTGCTGCTGTCGAGAAACCGAAGCCGCCTGTTCCGAATCCTGAGGCGGTGACGCCTCCTTTCACGCCTGAGTTCGATCCGAAAGAGGAAGTCGTGCCAGAGTTGAATTGGCCTGTGCTGCCGAAATTGGATTGGCTCGAGCCGAAAGCGTTTGACTGGCTTTGGCCTGAGTTTTGTCCAGTGGCAAACAAGTTAGATCCTTGATAGGAGCCCGTGGTGGTGGCTGAGCCTACACCGAGGGAACCCTGGAGTCCGACAGTGCCTGGTAATGAAGCAGTCTCTAATCTGCAGCAGATTTCAGTCCGTACGTCGCAGTACTGTTTCTGTAACAAAAAACAAAATGTTTTTAATTGTCTGTGGTTTTGTCTATCAACTTGGAACAAGTCAAACGAATAAAACTGTTGTTTCTATACATGCATAGTATTGTCAATGTAATGGCCGTGGGTGTCGTAAGAGCCGACTAAGGGATGGCGAGGGATGAGGAGCAGCGCCCATCTTAAAATGTCTTCAAAGCCTAACTGCGGTTGTCAATACTCCTGCCAAGCCTCTCAATTACTGGCAAGACGATTGTTAATATAAACGGTAACTAGGTACGAAATAGATGTTTCTCTTAAAATACTTGCCAATTTTAAATAAAGCCTAAATGGTCGCGTACAACGCGGTTTCAAAGATGTTTTCTCCCACGAACACTCAGGTTATGGAATGAGCTCCCTGCCGAGGTTTTCCCAAGAGACTACAGCATGGGGTTCTTCAAAAGGGGGTAAAGAGGTTTCTTTAGGGTCGGCAACGCGCGCGTAATACCTCTGGTATTGCAGGCGGTTATAGGCTACGGTAACCGCTTACCATCAGGTGGGCTTTATGCTTGTTTGCCACTTCAGTGGTATAAAAAAAAAAGAACAAAGTCAATAACTATTTTGGTAAGACGCAAATGCCCACCCATCCAATAGACGACCGCACCTCTGTTGTGATCGAGTCCTACATACGAATGATCAACAAAGTTTATAATATATTCAAATGGTATCTGACATACCTTTAACTTATATCAAAGCAATGTTTAGACAGACAGTAATTGAAAATTATTGATGGGACGTCCGATCTCGCGATTACACGGTTACGCCATTGCCACTTGTCGTACAGTCGTGTACAGATGGCTAAATGTTTTTTTTTCGGGGGAAAGGGATTGTTAGCAATGGACTTTGACAGTCCCATAGCTAGCAATATGCCCTATTAGGTCGACCTCCACGTGGTTCCCTCTGGAAACCATCGTGAACAATTCTTGTTGAATTCGTCACGATGGGCGACTTGACCTACTTCATCTTCACCTATCATCCTTCACTGGTGCCCGGCCGGTGTATACCGACAGCGCGGGTGGGGTTACAATTCCATTATCACCCATTAAAAAAGATAGTTATTTCTCAATGTATTTATTACTGGCGCTCCTTTCATACTTCTTTTGGCATTATCTTCATCTCAGCTCTGTCCTATCTGTCTATGCTGTGTTCTCTGATATACTATTTCTTAATTTTGTACTTTATTAATCCAAATATGCATCTCACCATTTGTAACTCGGCTACATACAGTCGTCGTTTGCTTACTCTAAAGAATTATCAGTCATGTTGATATCTAAGAATCTTGATATCTAAGTATCAGAGATCATGATCAGGTACCTTTCCAATTCCAATCTCATTTATTAATATATATATATATATATATATATATATATATATATATATATATATATATATATATATATATATATATATATATATATATATATATATATATATATATATATATATATATATATATATATCATCAAACCATCGGATCATCGGATTCTTTTGTGCTTCCCCCTGCATTATACCATCATTTCATAGATCCTATGTGTTAATATTCTTCGGTATGTATACAAATAAAAGATTATTTATTGCACCCAGAAATAGTATAAAAATATCAGTAGTAATTAAAGAGATAATGAATTTATATAAATATAAATGACATATTTATTATATATATACGTTTATATAAATATAAACATCTTAAACCTAGAAATAGTTATTACTATTTATATTTTATTTTAATCATTTATTGCATACTGCTAATCTAAAGCTATAATTCAGAGTGTTAACGTTGTAACTCCTGAATTTAACGATATATAATTTAATTACAAATCTGTTGATATTTACAATGAAGTATTGGTCCGCTACCACGCCGCTGACCCGTCCTCCTAACGCCGTCTATTAACTTTACTTATAGGGTTGCCACTCTACAGTTGTTTCAGCTAAAATAGAAATATTATGAAATTGTAAAAATCATAATCCCAAAGAGGAACTGATACAAACTGAGGGCAAGAATTTACGGAAATTTGAAATAAACCAATAAGATCGTTACGACAAATGGGGAAAAGTGGAATGAAAAATGGAACATGGTAGGGGAAGGGAACATGGTAGTAAAGAGTGAGGAAAACTTAGAAAGAAATTAAATTAGCTAAAAAACCTGGAAATTAATATCCGGGAACAAGTTGCATCCGTAGGAGCAGGGGGCTAAAAAAACAATCCCAAAGAGGGTTGACGTAAGGCAGGCGGCCGGTTGTAAAACTAAATGCCAAATCTTTTTGTAGTATAGATAGAAACATATTACGCCGACCGCAAATAATAATTGGGATAAGGGTAGGAATATGATGTTAAAAAAAAACATAATCCAAAATTTTTGAGCGATCGAAAGATCACGTTTGCTTCGAAATAAATAAATAGTTCTGTATCTATTTATTAAAATAGTAATTTGTCAAGTGTTTAATCATAATTGAATGTTAAACTAAAATACTTTACATATTTTAGAAGGACTAATTCTAATTAATTGTCACTAATTAACGTGGAATTAAAAAAGTGGAAACGGTTGGAGGAGGCTTTTGCCAAATGGCAAACAGATCTTCAAAAAATAAGCAAAAAACAATTATTAGAATAAGTTATTTTAAGTTTTTTTTTTTAATTTTATGTTTGTTTTTAATGTACTAAGTTGATCTGAATAACGGCTATATAAAATATAAATAAAACTAACGTGGAATTAACGCGGTAGTAAAATTTATCGATTGCATTTAATATCATCAAACTCGGATTAGAATTGAAGATATTACGTAATAAATATAAAAAATAAAAAAAAATTGAACCTATTTCAGTAGTAGCTTCAAAAATGATTTTTTGATGTCATTTAAAACGTATGTCTTACTTGTAATAAATACTCGTATAAGCGGTTTCTGCTGTGTGACAACCCTAAGCACAATATGTATAGATTTTGTCGAAGATTTTCCAGCACTTACCTTACTGGTCTCTACTGTTGTGCTTTGTACAGATGGATACAAAAGTGATTTTGTAATATATTTTTTATTAATTTATTTTGTATATATAGCGCTTATCTAAGGAGGCTGGCCATGGAGTAACTCGTCTCGGCTTCGCATTGCTTTTTTTTTTAATGAAATAAAGGCCATTTTACTCGCCGATAATACAAAAACCTTTTATAGACAGTTTTTTATACGTAACCAGAAAGAGACTTTGTACAAAAGTTGTTTGCTTGGGCACCTCTGTCCTATTCATGTTTCCGTGAAGCAGTTGTGTTTCGGTTTGAAGGGTGGGATATGGCAGTGAATTTACTGGGTACAGAGGAATAACACCTGAGTCCTCAGGATTGGCAACGCATGGGGGTATCATGGGCGAAACAGTATACTCTGTTATGTCCATGTTACTGTTCATGTTTATAGGCGACGGTTACCATTTTCTATCAGGTGGCTTGTCAGCTTGTTTGCCACTCTAAGTTGCATAAAAGAAAAGGTAAAAGATTTGTAAAATCAAATATTAGTATTTTTCGACTTTGCCTATTATAAACAAAAATCCAATGTTTCATCTTTACTGTATTAATATATATGTATATACAATTGACTTTTCCACGCGTTTGTACGAAATGTCAACAAATTGCCGCGCAAACCAAAACCGTATGTCGTAACGTTATTACAGGCGCTTATCATGCAAACTCACTCAATTATAGACCTTAAAGACAGGCAGTAATGTTAGTTATTTACTGTCAAATAGTTGATAAACTTTAGCAATGCAATGATAAGCAACATACCAAAGCTAAACGTGAACATTTTATATGGAAACAAAGTTTGGAAATGAGAAACGAGAATGAAACGATAATAGTCTATGCTAAATGGCATGGAAAAGTGCAAGTGGTCCTCTTGACTCGGTTCAAACACGGGTTATGCGGGGGGAGGTGGGGGGAGGGATTGTTAAATGATTGATAAATGGGAGACTAAGGGTCCCATTGCTAGCAATATACCCAACTAGGTCGGCCTCCACATGGCCCCCCTGGAAACCATCGTGCTGAAGGGTATTCATCACGATGAGCTAACTGACCTGTCTTTTCATCCTCACCTATCATCTTTCACTGCTGCCTCGCCAGTGTATACCGTTGGCGTAGGCGGGGTTACCAGTCCGTCATAATCCATTAAAAAAACACAGGTTATGAGAATTGTTGACGATCTTAAGCTCACAGACGATATCTCGCTCTTAAACTTAAGTCTAAGGCGAGACTTTGCCTCCCTTTGTGTGTTCTACCGCTTGTATAACGGATCGTGTTCTGAGGAATTGTTTGAAATGATGCCCACAGCTACCTTTTATCATCTTATCGCCATCGACAGGGAATACATCCACATACGCTTGAAATTCAAATGGTCACGTACAGTGCGGTTTTAAAGGAATTTTCTCCCACGAACGCTCAGGCTGTGGAATGAGCTCCCTACCGAGGCTTCCCCTAGAGACTACAGTATGGAGTTCTTCAAAAAGGGTATATTAAGGTTTCTCTAGAATCTGTAACGTGCACGTGACACCCCCAGTGCTGCAGGCGTCCATAGGCTACAGTGACCGTTTACCATCAGACGGGCTGTTTGCATTGTGGTATAAAAAATGTGGGAATCCCGTGACGGTTTGAGTATGTATGTTTAATTTTAAAAATCTCAGTCACATTTCACTTTTCCTTTAAGCAACACTTTCTGTTATCTTTTAAAGTCTTTCTCCTTCGTTCTTTCCAGTTATAGCTACTACAAAATATATGTCTATTTATGTATATATATAAATTTGTTAATGTAACTATATATTAGTAAATTATATTCTATTATCTATTTTCTTTCGTCTTTAAATATCCTCTATCTAAAGGTAACAAAATTGGAAAAATTACTCAGCAATGAGAATGTCTTCTGAATCACTTCACCTAAATTTATTTATCGTATTGTTTCTTATTATATTTGGTGCCCTAAGCTGGTGTCACAAAGTGG